CCCACAGTTCTCCTCAGCCTGGCCCTCCTGGCCCTTCTCTATCCTCATATATGAGTGCTCAGACCTCCTAAGAATACCCATGCAACTCAGCCCCCCTGGCTCAGGTCTCACACTGATGAGGTAGGGAAAACTACCAAGAGTTGCCTCAGGAATGAAACTGCAGAGTCTAAGCCAGGTTTGTGGCCTAGGTGGTAGCCTGAGAACCAGACTTTTCACTTGTGAAGGATCCAGGCCACCACTGACACGTGGGCCAACAGTGGTTCAGCTGGCTGACTGTGTGGCCAAGGAATTGGATTACCCCTGAGCCCTGTGTGGCTCTTCTTCCTCATTCCCCTCATTAGCTCCTTGTCTGTTCCTGCCTCACCACCCACAGGCCTGGTGTCCTCCCCAGGCAATCTGCTCACCCACTTGTTGCCATGGTGACTCTGGTTGGGGGTGTAGGGACTGAGGGGGGGTCGTCTAATTAAGGAGAAAGGCCACACTCCTCTCAGGCCACCCCTCTCCCCTCCTCTGTTTCCCCTCCCTCATTCTCTCCCTCCTTCTAGGAGCAGACAAGGGGAGTGCCCAATTACCATCTCCTGTTACTGGGAGGAGGAGGAAAGGATCACCACTCAGGCCTTCTCACCTAGGAGCAGAAACATTGAACTGGAAGACCCCACAGAGATCTTACAGGGGCCTCCGAGCCCCAGTCCCACCAGCAGTGGAGTGGTGGTGATTCTGTATGGTTTGGGATGAGGGTGAGGTAGACTCTAGGTCCAGATTGCAGAGATGGGACAGAGGCTATGGACAGAGACACAAATCTTGGCACTTGGGGCCAAAAATATGAAGAGGGTACTACAAGGTTCTGTTTCCCTTCCCTCTTGTGATTTCACTTTCTTTCATGTCTTACTTCTGTTTCTTTCTCCTACTTTTTTCTTCTCTCTTACCCCTTTTTCTTACCCCGGCTTTCTTAAAATTCCCTTCTTTTCCCCTTATTTCTTCTTGTCCACCGCCTGTTCACTCCTTCCCCTTTCTTCCTCTCTCTTACTCCTCCTCTCAGTAGCCTTCTCTTACCTGCATCTTTCCACTCTTATGTTCCCCACTCACTCCATGTTAGTCAGCTTTCCATCATTGTGACAAAATGCCTGAAATAATAGACTTATAAGGAAGAAATATTTATTTTGGCTTATAGTTTCAGAGGTTTTGGTTCATAGCCATGGACCAAAAGCACTCTTGCTTTAGGCCCTGTGCTTTGGGCCTGTGGTGGTACAGTTCATCATGGTAGAAGTGCATGGTTCATCTCATGGTGGCATAGAAGCAGAAAGAGGAAAGGTGGGCAGATTTCTAATATCCCCTTCAAGGGCACACCTCCAATGACCTAAGGTCCTCCCACCAGGCCCCACCTCCTAAAGGTTCCACTACCCGGTAGCACCACAGGCTGGTGACCAAACCTTTAACACATGAGCCCTTGTGGGGCACTCTAGATCCAACTATAGCTCTTATCTCCCTACTCTTTCTTACTCTTCTCTTTTCCCATCTTCACCCGACTCCATTCTTTTACCCCTTCCACCTTCTACCTCTTATTCCCCTGCTCTTTCTCCCCAGCCTTGCTTTTCCTTACCCGCATGATCACCACCATTGATTACCCTCCAAACCCCCCACTTTTCTTACTCTCTCTTTCTTACACCCTCTTCTCTTTAAACTCCTTACTCTGCTGCCACCCTCTCTTACCCTTTAAGTTCTCTTTTACTGTCTTCTTTTACCACTCAAGCACTTTTTACCTAGCCCCTTACTTTCACCTGTTCTTTTTCACTTTCCTTGCATTCCTTTCTCACTCCTTTGCATGTACCTGTTATCCTCATAATTTCATTTTTTTGGAATTTACATAAATGAAATTAAAGACAATGCATAAGAGATGTGTGTACAAAAATATTCAATGGAGCATCATTTAACATAGTAACTAGTGACCATGTGGAAACAACTTAAATGTCCATGAGCAAGGGACTGGTACCCATTCCATTCCACTCACATGAAACTTTCTCTGTCTTCTTAGTGCATCTTGTATTCACTCACTTCTGTGCCTTTGCTTAAGCCGTTGCCTCATCCTGGAATGTCCTTTTGCCTCATCTCTACCCATCCTATCCATGAAGTCCAAGCTCAACTCTTATTCCCTTACTGGAATCTTTCTCAACTTGTCTACTTGCTTCATTCCAACAATCCCATAGTTTGACTTCTCCTGTACTTTAGGTCATATACCACAGATTCAAGTTAGATTTATCTATCTGTGAAACTGTAATGTCTGTGGAAGTAGGAACCAGTTGTTATTTTCTCATCCTGTTCACTCAGTCAATGGATATTTTATGTATATTGTGCTGAGTTCACGATGGTTAATAAGACAAACTCATGTTTGCCTTCATGCAACTCATGTTAGTAGGGTTGATAGTAAAACAAAACAAGAATGCAGACAAAGCAATAATTGTGGTGAAGAAACAAGTAAGGAAAGGATAGAATAATGAGGACATCATCCTCTGCTGAGAGTGGTCAGCCTACTGCAAAGACCCTTTCTGAGGAGCTGACATTTAAACTGAGACCTGGAAAATAAGATGAAAAGGACCCATCTATGCCAAAAGTGGGGGAAAGAACATTCTAGTCCAAGAAAACAGCATTTTCCAAGGCTCTAAGCTGGGAAGAAGTAGGGAACATTCAATAAAAAGAAAGAAAATCCCTGTTTGTGGAGTATGATGAGCTTGATGGGAGAGAAGAAAATGACAAGTGAGGTTGGAGAGAGATGGGGACAAAGTATGTAGAAGTTTGAAGTCTGTTCAGAAGTTTTAGCTTTAGTCTAAATGCATTGAAGGGTTTGAAGCAAAGGAGTAACACATCCAATTACAGTTTAAGACCTCTCTTATTCCTGGGTGAACAGTGAATTGGAAAGAGCAAGAGTGGAGGTGGAGAGGCCAGATAGGAGACTGCCTTTCAGATAAGAAATGATGGTGTCCTATACAGAGCTGTGGCCATGGAGCTAGAATTGACATGGCTTTCAGAGGGACTGGATGGAGGGTGCAGGGAAAAAGAGGAATGGAAGCTGACACTTAGGTATCATAGCACTTGCTGAGCTGGTCAAGATTTGTGTACTTGGAATTTAAAAAAGTAAGTACTACATTTTAAAATTCAGAGCATTTTAAATTTCAGATGCCTGTGAGATACCAAAGTCCCAAGCAATGCTTTGTTCCTGATTTGCATCACAACCCCCTGCCATCCCTGCCCCTGCTTTGGTTAAGGCCAATGTGAGATATTATTGCCAAAGCCCATGTTTACAGTGGAGTCATTTGTAGTTTAGTGAAAATGTTTAAAATAAGTGTAAGAAACTGTGACCAAGTGTTTCCAAGACCATGTTGCTCAGTATGGTTGAAAGGACTCCTGCTATAGGATGACCTGGATCTTTGTTCAAAAATTCAGATCCTTGAGCCCACCTCAGTCTTCTTGAAACTGAATTGGGAGGAGGCATATGCATATTTAACAAGTGCCCCTGGGGATTCTGAGGCACACTGAAGTCTGAGAACCACTGCTATGAGGAGCAACAGTGAACCTAGAAAGTGCTGCTGAAGATACCCAGGCTGGGTATGGGAAGGACTCAGATTCTATGTGTGAGCACCCCCCGAACATCCTGTTAAAAACAGATGCTGACCTAGCAGAGCAGGGCAGGATCTAAGATTCTGCATTTCTTACCAGCTCTTCAGTGATAGTGATGCTAATGATCCAGGTCCACACTTTGAGCAGCAAAGGTCTAGATCAGTGATTTTCAGTACAGCAGTTCTTGTGAAGCATTATAAGCTAAAAAGCAAGGAAATAACATAATCCCATTGCCACTTGAGGCCTGTTTTCCTCTTGTGCAGACAGTGCATTGGAAAGAACAAGAATGTAGGCGGGGAGGCCAGATAACAGATTGTCACTAGGTGAGAGGTGATGATGGCCTGCACAAAGTTGTGGCCATGGAACTCCCCAGGGAGCATTTGCCAATGGTTGGAGACATTTTTTGGTTGTCATAATAAGGGAAGGGAGGGAGAATGCTGCTAGCATCTAGTGGGTAGAGGGGCCAGGGATGCTGTTCAGTATCCTACATTGCATACACAGCACAACCTCCACAACAAAGAGTTATCTGGCCCAAAATGTCAGTAGTGCTGCTTTTGAGAACCCCTTGGCTTAATGAGAGCCAAAGAGTTTTGAGCAGGGGACCTTTCTAGCTAGGACTTGCTGCCTAGTAATGGTGGGCTAGATGAGGGACAGAAAGTATGCCCATGAAGTGAAACTTAAAAGAAAGATTTCAAAAAAAGTGTAGCAGTGTCTGTGATTTGTGCTGCGTACCAAGGCTGAAGCCAACAGGACATAGCATGGATTGAGTAGAGCTCAAAGGCACATGTGGTGCCTGGTAAAACAGATTCCTGTTTTTATAAAAAAAAACCCTCACATTTGTATTGACCTTTGGAGCTTAAAAAACATTTTCATATATGCCATATTATTTGATTCACACCGTACCCTAATGAGGTAGAACAAGGATTATTTTCCCCATCCCTTTCTTGAATTTAGATACTCGACACCATCAGCCAAGAAAATGTTTGCCAAATGGAATAGAACTGAAATTTGCCTCATTATATATAGGTAACCTTGTACAAGTCAAGACACTTATTTGAACCAAGTATAAAATGATAGGGTCGGATAGGATGATTGGTAAGATTCCTTCCACTCTGACAGGAGTAATTTTTATTTCTGCCAGCAAACAGATTCTAAGTCTTGGATAACTGTAGATTGGGAAATTTGGGTGCCCTGGCTCTATGAGATGGGAGATCTTAGGGTAGGATATAATGGCCATGACCCAAACCCTTCTTCCTCTCTATCTCTGAAGTGCTGGGGTTAGGTTGTCGAGGCTCCTTTGAGAGATCACATGTTGGCCTTCCCCATTCCTCTACTCTGAGGTGGGAAGGGGCTGACGCATGGGCTGATGCTCTTTTCTCTCCCCACAGGCTGTCTACAAGGCCTGGCTGTGCTCAGAATACTTCAGCGTGACCCAGCAGGAATGCCAGCGCTGGGTGCCCTGCAAGCAATACTGCCTGGAGGTGCAGACCCGGTGCCCCTTTATCCTCCCCGACAATGAGGAAATGGTGTACGGAGGGCTCCCTGGCTTTATCTGTACAGGTAAAGGCAGGGCACTGGGGAAGAGGGAGGAGGCTGGGGGCCCAGGGCAGGCACTACGCACGTCAAGAGTGGAAGCAGAGAGGACAACAGGAGAATCAGGCTAGAAAAGCCCCAATGGTTGGAGGAGTGGGCAACAAGGTTCCCAGGCTGAGATATAGTCAAATGAATAGGGGAAAAAAGAGAGACCAGAATATATCCAGCCAAGGATTCATCTCAGAGAAACTGGGTGGGGTCCCTGGGAAAGAAGGGCTTGGAAAGGGAAGGTGCTGAGGGCCAAAAAGGAAGAAGTCTTGGCTAGGACTACCTGAGAAGTCCTGGCTTAGGAAACATCCTCTCCAGGTAAGACAGAGAGACATCAGCCCCCCCTGAGCATCCCACCATGCCTTCCTTATCCTTTGGCAGGGTTGCTGGACACTTCACCAAAGCGGCCGGAAACCAAGTGCTGTGACGTGCAGTGGGTCTCCTGTGAGTCGGAGAAGAAGAAGTTCAAGGAGTCTGAGGCCCCCAAAACCCACCACCAGCAATTCCACCACTCCTATTTCCACCACTACCACCAACAGTATCACCACTACCACCCCCGCCACGATCCCCCAGGCCGCGTTAGCCACAAGCCCTCCCTGCTGCCGGTCTCTGGGGGATCCCGCCTCAGCCCCAGCAGGATCCGGCTCTGTGTCCTTGTTCTCATGCTCCTCCATACCATGGTGTCCTTCTCCAGCAATCAGGGTGGTGGAGTACTGGGGCTGGAGACACTGCCTGCCCTAGAGGAGGGCCTGACACGGGAAGAGTGAAAGCAGGGAGGGAGGACAGACCTCCATCACATACTTACAGCAGCTCCAGCTCCCCCACTGGGGGGGAGGGAGCTCCTCCCATGGGAGGTATAGAACCAGGTGGGGGGGGCGGGGGGGAAATGGGGGACCACACATCCCCCCAACCTACCCCCACCCCAAAAGTAGCTCCAACAGAATGGCCAGAGGGCCCCAGGGAGCTGCAAATCTCATCCGGGAGAAAAAGATAGGAGCAGCAGGTGCCCCCTCCCAAGCCCCATCTGTGAGGCTTAGCAAAAAATGGGGGGGAATAGGGGCTGGAATTGGCCACCCCTGCTGAGAGCCCTGACCCCAGGGAAGGAGGCTGCTCACCCAGCCTTGGCCTTGCAGGGAATGTTGGGGGGCACAGAGGGGAAAAGCTCTTTTCCCCCCCTCCACATTCCTTTTGTTGCCAAGATCCTTAATTCCCTCCTGCCCATATCCCTACAGGCGACGGCAGACAGTGCATTGGCCCTCCTGCCACTACAGTGCACCTCGCCCCACATGGGGCCACCACAGGTGAAATACCAGGCTGGGACATGAGGTGCACACAGTTGCAGCTAGGTTGGGGCCCCAGTTAAGCTGTGCCTCACCACCCTAGGCAATGAGGGGTAGGAATGGGGTATGGAATAAGTGGTAAAAGAGAATGAAGATAGGGAAGCAGGAGAGGAGAGGAGAGACACTTACAGAGGGCCTAGAGAGATGGCCAAATGGGCTACTGCCAGGTGGCTTTGGGGAGGTGAATGATTAATGACGAGACAGATACAGAACTGATCCCCAAATCAGAGAGAATTGCAGAAGGAGCCCTCTGGAGAAAGAGCATAGGAACTGAGTTGTTGGGCCAAAAATCAGAAGGCTGAGGGCATGTAGTAGGACTGCCGCTGTCTGAAGGGCCATATCTTACAGAAGGTGCACATACTCCCAAGGGCCACTCTTGCCCTGGAGATCTTGGCCTTGGGGCCAAAGACCTTTCATTTCCGATCTCCATGGGGAGGAGGGACTTGAACCCAAGTGGGTCAGGCCTGGCCTGGGTCCTCATACTCCCCCATCCTGTCCTAGCCCAGGCCTCCATGAAGGAGAACCTGGAGGCCTTGCCCCAGAACTCTCCAGAGATGAGCCTTCCCTGTCCCCACCCTGTCCCCTTCCCCAGCCTACCAAAGAGTATTCATCCCTTCCCATCCCTACCCCCATGGGCTATTATCCCAATTGTGGAACAACCAAACTCCTCTTCACCCTATAGTGGGTCCCTTACTCCAGTCACCCCTGTCCCTTGCTGGAGAAAGTCCAGAGTAGGGGAAGAAGACCTTTTGACTAAAGATAATGTGCTGTTTTCCCTTGGCTATAAGACTTGAATGTTTAGTCAGGCTAGAGGGTTGAATGAGAAAAGAGATATTGGGTTCCCTGTGGGCGCTATTAGCCTTATATTGGTCATCTGAGAGGGGGAGGCCACATTGCCTAGGGCATCTCAAAGCCAGTCAAAGCTGACAAAAACCAGAGCCAGAACTCTGTGGGCCAGGCCAGGGCCTTCCAGTGCCAGAAAAGCCTGCATCATATGATGTGAGGCTAGTGAGTGGAGGAGAGGGGTAGCCCTGGAGCTGCAGCAGAAGAAGCTGCAACCAAGAAGATGGGGTATGGAGGGAGAGTTGAACTTTGTTGGCTTAGGGATGAATGGAAGGCCTCCCTATTAGAGAAGGAATCATTCAGGGGATCCTGAGGAATCCTTCCCTGACAGTTTTCTCATTTCTCACAGCCCGTTCCCTCTTGCCCCATGCCCTACCCACACACACCCCTTTTTGGCCCTCAGCACTTTGGGCCTGGCCACATACCCCATCCCTACAGTGCTCTTTTCAGCTGGGGAGGGGAAGAGGTGCTGGCATCTTTCCAGACGTGCTTATGTATAAGTGAAGGGGCAGGTGCTTGGGTTCCAGAGAGACCCCAGGTACTGCCTTCTAACACCTGCATCCTCAGGAGGGGAAACGGGACTGGGCAGTAAAGGGGGCGGCCTTATGGCCCCAGGGAATGGACCCTTGGAGACTCTCATCCTCTCTTTCCCCTCACCAAGTGCCCAGGAGACCCCTGGCTCAGACCAGCCCAAGGCCTTGCCCAGCGGCAGGGGAAAGGGGCACCACGCTCCACCTCAGAGTCATTTGACTGTCCCCATTCACTCCACCAACCCAATCTTCCACCACCTCTTGGGCTGCCCCTGCTGTCTATCACAGGCAGCAGAGCTGGGCAGCTTTTTTATGCCATTTTCTACACTGTGCTTCATCAGTAGGACTTTCTTGCACTAGTTCCTATGACTGAGTCTCCAAGCTGGTTTCCTAGTAGTCCCCCCTCCCTTCCTCCCTTACCTGGCTATGATTCAGTTGTCTCTGCCCTTCCTCTTACCCCTGCCTCTGTGTTTCAGTGAGAGTCTCTGTATGTGTACTGCTTTCTGTTTTGTTGCATTGTGGGGCAGAGGCCTCTCTGCCCTTGTTTAACCCCATAAATAAATGGTAAGACTTGATGATAACCCTCCCTTCATGGCTTGTTCTATGGTGTCCTAGGAAACAGTGCAAGACCTGGAGAGGGGGTGGATCCAGAGGATGCTGACCCTGTGCCAGGTACCCCTCAGCTCAAATATCAGAAAAAAAATCATACACTCTGCAGTAGGCTATTCTAGACAAGGAGTCATAAAGCCAACCACCTGCAGGGATCAGGCAGATAACTTTAAAGTATGAAGTTGGCTGATCTGGGGAAAAGTGCAGACTTGGGAGTGGTAAGAGCTGCAGGACATGCAGAGGGATAGCTCAAGCCCAGGGCTGTCGCATGGAAAAGTGGGCCCAGTGTTGCCAGATCTTAATCTTCAAGGAAAGCTAGGACTCAGGGTTTTATTGTGAAGCTCCCTAATTCCTGAATGTTGATGGCTCAAGTCTAAAAACCAGCTGACAAACCAACCTACCTCCATGTGGGCTAAACACCTGTAGGCCCTGCCTAGCCTGGGGATCACTAGTTCCCCACCTTTGTTGTAGCCTCTGATTCAGGTCACATCTCTCCACACCACTACACTAGACCCAGCATCCCACCATATGAGTGAGGGACACTCAGGAAGAACTGCTGGAGGGGCAGCAAAAAGGGCCTTCCACCGCTATTTCTCTTTCACATAAATGGGGGAAATGAAACCATGAGCGAGGGCATGCTTTGCCAAGAAAACAAGTTCTCTAAGCTCCCCAAAAGCAGCATAACATGAAGGCTAGGGCAGGTCTCTGGAGCCAGACTCTGACTTTAAAGCATAGTCACCATCATCTCCTACTTGTATGACTTTGGATAAGTTCCTTTACTTCTTTGATCCTTGGTGTCCTCATCTATCAAAAGGGTTATTGTGAGAATCAAATGATGTACATAAAGCACTTAGCACAACAGCTGGCACAAAAGAGCCACTCAAATGCCAATAATTATTATTATCATTAGTCATTCAATCTTCTCCTTCCTTCACCCCCATCTGAAACGGTCACCAAATTCTGTCATTCTCCCACTGTGTGTCAAATCCTTCCCCTCCTTTCCACCCTGACTCCCACTAAACCACTGCAGGCCTTCAGTATATTTTGCCTGGACTATGACAATAGCCTATTGTCCAACTGATCTCTTGTCCAATTACTCTGGCTCCAATCCATCCTCCACCTATCAAAGTGTCAGACACTTTAGAGGCACTTCATAGATATTTTGTGAAAGAACTCCCCCCGTGGTTGAGTTTCCTAAAGAACACACCACCAATCTTCCTATAGCAAACATATTGCACTCAGCAAAAACACCAAACACACACACACACACACACACACACAGCAAATCAGATGGCTCCACATTGCCTGTAGAATCATGTGGGAACTTCTAAGCATGACACTCAAGGCTGTTTATTTCCTAACCCTGTCCTACAAATCTGATCATCCACCATAGTCCCTCATGCACTCACCTCTCAGCCATTTCCCAACTGTTGACTGAATGAGCTCTGTACCTTCTCATCTCCTGCTCTTTGCTCAAATGGTTTCTTCTGACTGAAATGCCCTCACCTCAGCTCTGCCCATCACTGGCTTACCCAGTTTTCAAAGTCTAGCACAAATACCTGCACTGCTCTGAAGAATTCCACAGCCTCCCTTCTCCCCAACTTGAAACAATCTCTCCTCTAATTTGATACTTTGAAAGTACTTAATCATGGTACTTCTGACATCCTTTGTGATTTCAACTTATTAATTTATTCAAAATATACCTATTGAGCAACTACAATATGTCAAGCACTGTGCCAAGTGCTGGAATACAGCAAGGCACAGACACATTACAGATCCACAAGATAGCAGGAACCTATGCGTCAGACAACCGTAATATACTCACACTAACATTAAAGTAAAATATAAAATAATTCTAAAATAATTATTTTAAAATAAAATATAAAATTATATAAAATTTATGTAAGTAATACATAAAAATTAAAATGTAGTCAAACATTTTTATTTCACTGCATGTCCATGACGAGGGGGCCAGGCTCTCTTCACCTTGGGTATGGGAAAGACATATGAGGGATTGAAGGTCTGTCTACTACACACAAAAGCAGAGGGGGCTACACATTCCACAGTATTAAGGGAGTAAAGGGCATAGTGGTTGTGACACAGAAGTAGCTCCACCAGCCTTACAGTCCCTTTGACTCTTGAGCTGAGCTAGTATCATCCCAAAACTGCCTGTCTGAGCTCCCCCTCTAACCAGGCCTAGGCCCTGGCACTTTCCATACCTGGCACTTTCACTGGTCAACCTGCAGCCAGCCTCAGTCTCTTCCAGCCCAACATGAATGAAGAGGACTGCAGTGGCTTACAGTCCTGGTAGTGCCTCAGTATCACCTGGAAAGTTTTAGCTCAGGGCCCTACCAGCACAGACTCTGATTTAATTAGTCTGGGGAGAGGGTCCCAGCTTTGATATTGTTTAATGAAGTTCACAAGTAATTCTAGTATGCAGGCAGGTTGGCAACCACAAGGTGAAGAGAAAGCTGGGGCTACATGAAGTCCTTGTTATTTCAGGATAAGTGGTGCTAGAAAAAAGGCCACTCACAACAAATCCACTTGAAATGGGGACAAATGTTTCACAGTAGAGTGAGGGAAAAGCTTTGCATAAGACTTTATCTTGAGAAATAAAATTGGAAATATATAAAATATTTTAGTTTCCATTTATAATGTTAAATAATTGCAAATGTGGACTAATTCTTAGAATGAACAAAGAGTGAATCAAATATTGGAGGATAATGTAATTTTCCTGACCAAAGTGCATGAGAGCATAATATTGACTTTTGCAGCACAGTCGTAAGCAGAGTTTTTGTTTTGTTTTTCCAAAATTAGAGCACTTCTTCAATTATCCCAAGGACCTCTTGTAATCCTTTGAGAGTTGAATCATTCTCTTTGAAGCCTTGATCCTGTCATTACCCAGGTCAATTTTCTCTTCTGCCAGTGGTAACTGGTCTGTCTTTGCCAAATCCCCATTTATCAAGGTCTTTATATGACATTTGAGATGATCTCCAACATCACTTTCATTGACTTCATGAAATCTTGAATCTTTTTCAAGATTTGCAGTTTTACTCTGAGATTGATTTGCATTGTGCAAATCAATTAACAGGAGACAAAAAGAGACCTTGATTGTGGATAAACAGTATTGGGGTATTAAAGTGGGAGGAGGGGCTTATGTGAGACTCCAAATAGTGAATATGTTATGACAACTTTTGCTTTCTACTCAACTTCACAAAGTCCCTTTTTTCCTTTTGGGTGTTTAATCTGCTTATCTGTGAAACAAAGGGAGAGGATTAGATGTTGTTATAAAGATTAAATAGTTAACTCAAATGAAGTAAATATATGCGAAGGCACTGAGCCCAACTGCTAGCACAGAAGAGCAACTCTGTAACTCCTGCTCTTCCTTCTCTCCCAAACATTTTAGGTTATTTTAGGATACACTGAGGGACAAAGAAGGAAAAAGGTAGAAGTCCCAGAATTTATGTCCCAGGCTCAAGTTTCTGTTCTATTGCCATTACCTCCTCTCTTAGTCACTGTGGCACGTTGCTGAGATCTAATCACTCAACACTGAACACCTAGGAGGCTTAACGCTTAGGGATTTAGAATGGGAATACAAAAATCACTCAGACATGGCATCTGCCCCCAAGAAGTTCCTGGTTAGGTTGGGGAGAAAATGTGGAACAGAAATCATTCAAATTACCTGTAGAGTATGGAATTTCTCCCACCCCCATTGTTACCACATAGTCCAAGACATCATCAACTCTCTTGGACCACTGCAATGGCCTCCCAGCTGTCCTTCCTGCTTCTAATCTTACCCTCTATCCAAAGGGATCTTTTAAAAATGTAAATCAGATCATCTGTTTCCCCTGCTAATATTCTCCCACAGTCTTGTATCTCAATCAGAATAAAATCCAAACTCCTTACCCTGGCTCACAGCATTTTACACAACCTGTGACTGCTCTTCCTCCCCAGTCTCACCCAATACATTTTCTCCACTCTTCTCCAGTCATCCTGCCCTATTTTTCTTCTGCTAAGGTAAGCTTATTCCTTTCTCAGGACCTTTGTACATGCTGTTTCTTGGCCCCAAATGTTCTTCCACCAGGTTTTCCCAAGACTGACTCTTCATTATCAGTTCTCAGCTCACATGTCACTTTCTCACAAAGACTTTTTTTTAATGGCTCTAGGTATAACATTGCCCTTCTTGCCCCAGACACTCTAGTGTGCCTCCCTGGTTTTTATATGAACTAGTACTTGTAACTATTTGAAATGATCTTGTTTTTACATTGGATTTCCTGTTTATTGGTTTTCTCTCCATCTGAATGTAAGCTTTGAGCAAACAAAGACCTCATCTGTCATTGTTAACGATCTCCCCAAGCCTTAGTGAATGTCCACTGAATGAATGGATGTGGATGCTGAAGCGAGTGTTTCATTTGGGCAGGAGAAAGTGGTTTAGGAAGTGTAGAGTAGGTGGCAAGAGATGAGCATGGAAGATTGTCAGAGGTCAAAACGTGGAAAGTGTTGAGGGTCAAACCAGGTAATCTAGGCTTTACAGGGTGACCCACTGGGAGCCATGGAAGATTGTTGAGCTTGAGAGGCATATTATCAGCTGATCTAGAGTAAGATTCATCTAGTTCCATGTGCCAGATGGATGGGTGGGCAAATTGAACGGAGGATCTCGTTTAAGAGCCCACCAACCACTGCGTGCTCAGCCTTCGCAATTGCTTTCCTCTAGGCTCTCCATCGCCGCCAGGTTCCACCCAGCTCCCAGACTCTTCAGGGGTCACAGAAGAGCCCTGACTGCCTTTCCCCGACACCGGCCGCTGGGTGGCGCTGTGGCTCCTCCTACCCGGTCTGGAGGCGCCAGGGAGGCGAAGGCGCCGCAGCTGAACCCGGCCTGGCGCGGGGGTCGGTGGGCGCTTGCCGAGCGGGTTCTTCCTGGTCGGCTCTATTCTCACACTTCACACGCTTCCCCCGTGTCGGGACCATTTCC